ATATATATATATATATATATATATATATATATATATATATATACATATGACTTTCTTCTTGAAGTTAGTACTTTTAGTTTTTATTTTATTTTTAAAGAGATAATATTAAATTGTTGGTAAACTATACTTTAATTAAATATACCAGTTTCTTTTCTCACAATCCTTAATCTTCTCTATAAAAGCAGATGTAGTATATCAAATAAAATATGCAATATCTCTTTCTAGTAATTAAATAATATTTCATACTTCTTTGAATCTATGAAATATTGTGCATAGTATAACTAATGTCCATTTTCTTATTTAACTCCAGGTGGATACCAGTCTTGAAGGTTGCCAAAATAGGAGACATCTACTTCTACATACAAGCATTTTCTGCAACTAAGGTAACTAGCAACATTTGTCTTAGAATCATTTCACAAGTTTTAGACTTTGTTAGACTTTACATCTAGTTGAAAAATAATATTGGACTATTAGGATGCTTATAAAACCCTACCTTAAAAATTGCTTGGATTGGAATTCTCTATTTTATTCATTGCAATTTTTAAAATTTATTTTGTGGTGATAAGAGGTAAGTATGAAGTGTCTTTCTCACTTTCTCTATCTAATCTTTTGAGAAAAGGTTTTCTCACTGAATCTAGAGCTTTACTGGCTGATTAGTAAGGCTTTGAGAATTCATGTGTCGCCATCTTTCCAGCTCTGAGGTTATAAACATGCACTGCCATGCCTGTTTCTTATATTGGTGCTGTACATAAAACCCAGATTCTCATGTTTACACAGTACTGTACCCAGTGAGCCATAGCCCACCTTTTAGGGTAGGTTTTGGTTTGGGTTTGGGTTTTTAATGAAATGGAAGGAGCCATGAGGTATTCCTGTTGATAGTAATGGTCCTTGATCATTTCTTCTAAGTTTCCTTTACTAATAGGATTCTTAAATTATAGCTGCATCAGCACCATCTGGGAAGTTGTTTAAATGCATGTATTCAGGTTCCCCTTTTAAATGCTTATTCAGAAACTCTGGAACTGGGAAGTATTTCACAAAACCTGTATGTGACGATGTATCATGAAAGATAAGAACTTCTATTTCAGAGCAAGTGTTTTAACATCATTTCTTTAGTGTGTATGTCTATGCATGTATACATAGAGCTTGTAAGATTATGATTAGAATGTCAGTTCGTGTGTAATATGTATCAAAATGCTCTTTTGTTTTTTCTTCTTCTTAAGATTGTTTGCCTCATGACTTTACTCTGTAAGATGAAAATTCATATCTTCTCTGAAATATCCACTCAATCGTCATATTGACCCTATAGAGTTCCTGAAGGTTATTTTTACAATGTAAATTGTAAGTCATTCCTCTGTCTCTTTGAAGATAACTTCTAATATTAATAGAGCTAGAGAATTATTAGTGAATTTTCACTTTTATTTTTGTGGTCAGAAGCATAATAAATGTGTGGTAAGGAAAACACATTGTAATTTATTATACAAATGACCGTTTCTGACCCTTTGTGAGATAACAACAATTCACTTGCCTTATTTGCATTTTAGATTAATTCAACCAATTAAATAATGGAAACAACTTAGTTTTGATTTCAATGTCTACTAGAGTCATATATATTATGTCATATTTATTATAGACATACTAATATTAATTAAGATAGATAGGAAATGTGTTAGCTTAGAGAATAAATAAATTGGAAAAAGTCAGAAACTCAAAAGATCTTCAGGAATGACCTAATAGGAACCTCACATTTTAAGAATGATTATTGAATTCAGTGTGTGACTATAAGTTTGCATATATATTGTGTATGCATGTATATATGTGTGTGTATTATGCATATGATATTTTATGGTAATTATGATGTTTTAAAATTTTGTGACTCATTTCTTGAGCATATAATTTAACTACAGATGGCGAGAAAATGGTAACTTAAAAAATTCTTCAGTTAGAATGTGGGTGACAGTTGTATGGCTGGGGCAGAAAGTGGTACCAGGATTTAACCCTACTGCTTGTACTGGCTTTTTTGGAACCTATTCTCTTTGGATGGATACCTTGCTCAGCCTAGATATAGTAGGGAGTGCTTTGGACCTTCCCCAAAGCAATGTGCCTAATCCTTTCTGAGGAGTGGGTGGGAGTGGGGTGGGGAGTTAGGTGGAGGGAATGGGATGAGGGAAAGGAGTGAGAACTGGGGTTAGTATGTAAAATGAAAAAAGATAGTTTGTTTTCTTTTTAAAATAAAATAAAATAAAAATTCTTCATTCAATAATAATATGCCAATTTAATAAAAAGTGTTTATGTAAAATAGAAGTTTATTTAGTTGTAGCAAGAGAATACTAAAATAAAGATATGAGCCAGTTATTTAAAAATATCATTTAGATAGTTGAAACATGTACTGATCAATGACAAGACTTCCTCACATCCTAGCAAATTGACTTCATGTGTTTATGTTTAACAAATGCTAATAATAAATTATTATGCACACACATACACACACATATATACATAAATATACATATGTATAAACACATACATTCTTACATCTTCAGGCTAGTCTAGGTACTAGAAGACAGAATCATTAGCATAGGTGTCAAGTGAAAAATAGAATGCTGTACACTGATGAGCAGTTTCTCAATACCACATATCTAGCATAAAGTGAAAAGAAATGTTAATCTTTGTTTTCTTTGGAAGATCTTAGTATGCTTTTGCCTGGGAAACAAAGTGCTTTTCCCTCCCTTTTTCCTATAGTATCTATGTGTAGATCTAGGATATTAAATATCTCATCCTAATTTGTTTTATGTGAAAGACACCTTTTTGATAAGTTGCTCATTTATTCTGGCAGTTAGTTCATTTAATTTTGATTTGGTTGACTATTTCCATATAAAGTTACTATGGACTTCTATACAGAAATATTTCTTTATATTGAAGAAAGTATGTATAGCAATATTAACAATCTCTTCTCACAGATTGTAAGACTAGTATTAAGCCACTGAATTTTTTATTTTTTACTAATATTCAGAAAGGAAATTTTCCTTTAATGAAATAGAAGTTTCCATTTTCAAAAGTAATTTGAATATTAATGGAGAATTTTAAAATTTATGACAGCTATTTAAGTTAGTTTATACTTCTAAAATATGTATTAGATAAATTGTAGAACCCTCTAAAATATTTACACAAGTCCATATACTATGATGAACTCTATTTTCTAGACTGATAACTAGAACATAACAAATCATTAGCTTAAACTAATTCAGTGATAATTTGAGAAGAATGTATTTTAAAGTAGTCTTAGAATTGTTTATTGAATGTTCTAGCAACCGGTTCACTTGTAGTCTTGCTCCTTACATTGTTAATTTTGCTCACTAGAGTAATTACTTAAATCCAAATACCTAAAGTAAGTCAATTTATCCTACCTATGCTTAAGGTTTGATTTGCATACTCACGTAATTGGACAAACTGTACAAATATTCACAATTAAAGTGGTTTAAAAGGAAACAAGCAACCTACTATATAAAGCATAATATTACATAATAAAAACACACACTGATTTTTAATTCATATTTATGAGGATAGTATATAGAGGACCATGATAGTGTTAGTTTTCTCACTAACACAGATCTCCTGTTACTTAATGATTGAATTGCCAAAGGCTGGTATACAAATGCCAAATAAGATCATTCTATTGCTCTAGTAATGCTTGAGATATATGCAACATTGAATTCTAGATATTTTTATTATTCTGATAGCTTTGTAAATATGCAAGATATGCGTGATATCTACATAAATCTGCTTTAAGTATGATACAGTTTTTTTTATTCCTGAAATTCAGGAAATAATACATAGCTCAAAGACCATGTCCATGATGGACTTCATTTACTTTCCTAGATTCATTTGTTTTGAGCAGCTAAATAGTGTTTTGGAGGATTCGTGTAATGACTTTAGGTGACCTCGTTACAAAATTATATACAGTTGCACTCATCGTGTTTTTATAAAAAGTTAAATTTTTGATGCTCCCCATTTGTAAAATTTTCTGAGCTTATTATATCAGACACTAGCTATCAGACACCCTAGATGTTTTTAAAACTCAGGAATCTTATGCGTCTCTAAACTCAATACGGACTTTGTGAATGATTTTATAATTATAGAATTAATGTTACTTTATTGTATATTAGTTGTACTTTGTTCATGCTATCTCATCTCAATTTAAGTTATTGGTAGTTTGCCTCAGTGTTGTACTATGATTATTCCATAAATGATATTTATATGATCATACACCATCATTATCATGTTTAGATGAGCAAAGATTAGAAAAGAAGACCATTTTTATCTTATAAATTACATAATTGCAGTTAATCTTTGAGAAACCTGTTTGAACTTTCTAAAGAAGCAAAGATCTGATATTATTTTTCCATATTTAAGAATGATTATATCCATTAATAACATCCTAGTATTCATTTTGTTTCTTATAGAGGGTAAATCTGTTTTGAATTTTTTCATATGCTTTAGGTGTAACTCTAGTTTTAAGATGCTGACATTTCCTAATATTTTTCTTGTCCCCTAGTTATCTATTGACTTCATAATGTCAGAGATCAGATTCAGCAATCTCACTTGGGATCACATCATAACACTGGATCGCGTGTTGGATGAAGTAATCCCAATCCATGGAAGGGGCAATTTCCCCACGCTGGAGGTAAAACCAAAAGATATCGTTCATGTTGTGAAAGATGAACTTATAAAGCAGGGTATTATTGTTAAAGATACCAGATTGAATGGCTCTACAGCAAGTTACATACTCGCAAGCCATAATGGAATCAGCTATAAAGATCTGGACATTATTTTTGGTGTTGATCTGCCAAGTGATCAAGAATTTCAGGTTGTTAAGGATGCAGTTTTAGGCTGTCTACTTGACTTTTTACCAAAAGGTGTTAAAAAAGAAAAGATTACCATAAAGACAATGAAAGAGGCGTATGTGCAGAAAATGGTCAAAATCTGCAATAACCAGGATCGTTGGAGCCTCATCTCTCTTTCAAATAACACCGGGAAGAATGTAGAACTCAAATTTGTGAATTCACTCAGACGACAATTTGAATTTAGTGTAGATTCTTTTCAAATTCTTTTGGATTCCATGTTAGATTTCTATAGTGTCCCAAATGCTAAGTTAACCAAAGAATCCTGTCCTGTGGTGGTGGCTGAAAGTATGTATGGAGATTTTCAGGAAGCAATGATACACTTGAAATACAAGCTTATATCTACCAGAAAACCTGAAGAGATCAGAGGTGGTGGTCTTTTGAAATACAGCAATTTGTTGGTCCGTGACTTCAAACCAGCTTGTCAAACAGAAATTAAGACTCTGGAACGTTATATGTGTTCTAGATTTTTCATTGATTTTCCTGATGTAGCAGAACAGCAAAAGAAAATTGAATCATACCTCCGCAACCATTTCATAGGTGAAGATAAAAGCAAGTATGAGTACCTTATGACCTTGCATGGTATTGTGAACCAAAGCACTGTCTGCCTCATGGGTTATGAAAGAAGGCAGACTCTTAATATGATCACCCTTTTGGCTTTGAAAGTACTTGGAGAACAGAATGTATTACCCAGTACAGACAATGTAACTTGCTTTTACCAACCTGCTCCATACCTAGTTTTTGAGGGAGGGTACCCGAGTTATTATGTAGCATCTGGGCCACCACTTGTTTACTTCCAGCCATGTTCTGCAGTGCAGTTTCCACTACAAAATGATATGATGTAAGAAGTACTCACACTGGAAGCATTACTTAAGTACATCTGAAAAGTAATTTTCCAAGTTCTGTAAAAGTTAAGATCTATTTTTGTGTAGTTGCCAACTATTTTTCACCAAATGCAGCTTAAATTATCATAGTAGATAAGGTATCATCTCTAAGCTCATTTTCAAGTGAACTTTAAGTGTTGGGATTATAAAATCTTTCAAATGTAGTGGACTAAATACTTTCAATGATCTTTCAAACCTTACTGACACTTAAGACAAAATTTGCTGCAACCAGTATGTTAAAGGTGCCTGCATCTTTGGCTAAAGATAAAAGAACCCTTCTCATGTTTTAAAATGGAGTGCATAGTGAAGGCATGTTGCAACATCTTTTTGTTCAGTTAGTTCCTTGTTACACTGGTTTTTTGTTAGCAAATAATTACATGAATTTTTCGTGCTTAAATTGAAATTAACTGATTGCAATGATAACCAATTTAAATGACGTTAAAACAGTAGATTATAAACTTGTGTTTCCCAATAATTTGTTGGGTTGAAAATACTGCTAAAGTTTGAAGCACCACTGGAAAAAATGTTCTGAAAAACAGTAATTATCCATCATATAGTAAGAATTTAGCTAATCTGTGGATTGAAAACAAACCTTTAATCTGAACAACCAGCAAGAGAACTTATTATGCAGAGGTTTTGGCACTTAAATAAGTTGAAAAGAAAAAACAACCAACTCTGAATGTGAAACTATTTTATCATCATCTCCTAAGAAGAAACTAAAGGGGACAAAAAGGAGAAATATCGTCACCAACTACAGAAAGTTAGAGAATTCTGTGTTGACATTTCAGATTTTTGGCTTATTTGATTAACATTCTAACACATATAGGCAATTTTCATCATTAGTAATTAAAAGTACTTACCACCAAATGAAGCACTTTCACTTTTCCTATCACAAAGCCTGATTTGTAGTATGTTCTTTGATGTCAAATTTCAGTTAACACCACATTTTTTTCAGTAATAGTGTATATTTGCCATTATTCTGAATATTTATTCAGTAACATCAGATATCCACTAGTAAATATATGAATGGGATTTAAAATAAATTTCTCTCATATGATGTAAAGAGCCATTGATCTCTTATCTGGGATGATAAGAACAAGCTGCTCTCAAGGAATGTCAGTGAGGCCGTCAGAAAACTTAACTACACTTTTCCATCACAAGAAGAACCAGCAGTCAAAATCTGAGAATGTGCTACCTGTAGACTGTAGTTAAAGTCTCTTCTTGGCATTAAAGTATCGAATACAAAAGTACAGCTTCTGTGAAATTTTCAAATAGCCAATATTTCTGACATTTTTGTACCCATACATCACTGACCATACATTTGATATATTCAAATAATTACATTTGTATGACAAAATCCCAAGGCTTTAAAATATTTGGCTTACCCCTTTGGGTGGAGAACAAATAAAAAAGTACTGGATACTGTACTATGAAAGTGTATCACTGAATCTGTCTACATCTTGTATTGGCTATTGGCTAAATCATAGTGATCCTTCTTTGTGTCTCAATATATACACTTTAGTTTTCAGAAGGTAGGACTACATATACATGAAACTGAACTTATTTATCAGTAAAAAAATAATTCTAAAAGATACAGGGAAATCACTTGAGACTTAAAAGGATTGTGTTAGTGATGTCATTGCTAAAGGTTCAATGTTTCCCACAGTAGTTCAGTAATAGAATTGTGAAGGTGTTTGAAGTATTTTATAACATCTGCAGTCCCATTACTTCTTACTGGTATTTCCTCAAAAGATTTTATTTCCTAAGAAGCAATTTTTCCATATTATTATCCTAAAGCTTTAAACTGCAGTATAGAGAGAATGAACTAAATGATCATGCTCACGTTCTCTTGTGAAAAAGCTCAACATAAATGTCTAATATTTTCTCAGGTTAGAGAATCCAAACATGTTGAATGGGAGTAATACCACAGAAGAAAAGCTTTAGCCTGTTTCTTATGGTTTTGTTTCTCTAAGCCTTCCTTTATTGCCTACTAACCGGAAAAATACTGTGTATTCAATGACATGTCAGCATTTCTCCAGGACTAGTGTAACTGCCTGAAAAGAAACAGTACTAATTCCTTCTGTTCCTTAGTTTAATACATGGGATTTTTTAAAATAAGTAAGCAGATGCCAGCTATTTTTTACCTGACGTCACTCAGTTATTTTAAAACCTCATTCCAGCATACATCATCCCATTACCAGACGCACACTAGATTGCCCTTTAACTGTTTTAACCCGTGGTAATATTCAGTAGTAAGTTTTATTCTGGAAGTTGTTTTCATTTTTCACCTTAGTAATCTAATCTAAACGAAAAAAAAAGAAAGAAAGAAAAAAAGAAAAGAAAATGTAGTTCTAGCATTTCTATTAGTTAAATTAATTGGGTTTCAGCCCCAGACACATATTCTCTTAAACTAGAATATTCAGTGCCCAAATATCACAAAAGATCTAATAGGGTTTGTCAAACTTTTAAATTCAGAAATAGTCTTCTGATAGTCACTAATCTACTGCTTTAAGAGAAATGATTATCTTGTTTGGGGTGATTTCATACTAGCTGGAGTATACACTACTTAGAAACCAATTTTAAGTCACTAATATTTGAACATAACCCATTTTCTTTTACTTTGACTTGTTTTCGAAGGATGTAAGATTATTTGAATGAATTAGAACAAAATTTATTTTTATAAATGTACACCGTTGAGAATAACAGATATTTTATAGATGATTTTAGTGCATGTGGTTTATATGTCCCCTCCAACAGGCAGACCTTCTTGTCTTATAAAAGGAGTGCCACATAGACATACCTTTTAATGCCTCAGAATAAAACCATTAACCCTTGTAAATGAATAAAATGGCCTTCTTAAGAGAGATAGTGTATCGAGTAGCTACTTCTCCAAATTATGCCAAATTAAAAACGATGGGTTAAATGTCAATCCAATTAATTTGGTGATTTCTTACATAATTCTAGACTAATGGAGAAATATAAATTATTCTCTCTAAAATTCTAATTAATCTATTACACATTATAGATATAACCCATTTATGCATATTACTTAGGCTGAACTCTGAAAACCAGAAGCCTGGGATTGGATTCTTGTTTAAGCATTTATAAAGAACTTGAGGTAATGAGTAGGGGATACTAGTCTTTGTGAAAATGACATTATAGAGCAGTATGAGGCTACAAACTAATATACTACTAGACCTTTGTTTTTACTATAGTAGAATAACTTTAAAGTTTTCTCTATAAAATTAAAGCTTAGTTCCAAAACAAAAAATCCTTATTGTAAAATCAGAATTTAAAGGGAATTCTTATATATTTAGTCTCTTCCATATTCTTTGAAAATAGAAGGTAATATTAATAAATCATTGATATGTACATTTTCTACTTTTAAAAGGTTTTACAATTTTAGTGTCTCCCGCCAATAATATTAGAGTCAATACAACCAGGTGTTTGTATTGTATAGCAGTTGTTTGAACAAAGAAACTGTGAATAGTGATTTTCTTTAAGCCATGTGGGTGCCTTTCTTGAGGATTCATATTTCTCCACACTTCTTTTCTTTACAGATTTAAGACTTTAAAAATACTTTTGGTACCCTGACTTCAAAACACAATACTTTTTCAGGCAGTAAACTCCAATACCTGTTGTTCACTAACTTTCGAAATTGTATTTTTACTATTAAGTACAATTCTTTCAGATTCACCCTGAAAGTTAGGAATATAAGTTAAGCTGGTTTTAAGAGTAAATTTGTCTTCTTTGAAAAGCTCTCAAATAAATCTTTAAAATCAAAAGCAAGATACCCTTCTATAAAATACCACATCTGGGTACCAAAACAGAAATTATATACATGAGCTCATAAGATTTAGTCATGTCAAGGACTGTATTTAAACATCCTACCATAGAACTATATTAATCTCAGTGACTGTTTACTAAAACAAGTGTTTCTAATACTTGTAGAAAAGGTATACAGCTCCTGGTAATCTTGACAGTTTAAAAAAAAGCATTTATACATTTTGCTGGAGGAAGGTTTTGATGTTATCTTTACTTAAAATGTGTTTAACATACAAAATAAAACATTGACAGTGTACTTATTAATAGAGTATCATGTAGTGTTTTGATAGAAATGGACATTGCCGATGCTTAAATCTGATTAGTACAAGTATTTCCTCAAACTTATGTTTATTCTTTTGGGTGAAAACTTGGAATGTCTTCTTGCTTTTAGAAATTTACAGTTCATTAGTGTTATCTAGTAATCCTGCTGAAGAGCAAGGTTTTAATTCATCCTGTTCCCATCCACATTTCCCTCATTTACTACAACGGCACTTCTATTTTTCTCAGTGGCAGGGTAGAAAAATTAAAACTAGGGTTTTTTTTTAGTATTTATTTTTTACAAAAAACCTATTAATTTAATGAGATTGATATCTTAGATGTTCAAGTCTAGAAAAGTAGCTTCTGTGTGTGCATTGTAGAGAACCCAAATTTAGGCTCTCTGGTTTCAATATTTTTAATGCCTAGGGCATGTTAACAATCTTAAATCAGGTTGTGATTCTGGGAATAAATGTTAACTTTTTGATTCTTGAAGAATCCTTGAATTCTAGACAATAGACAAAGATATCACTGGAATTTTTCTGCCATTTGATGTCCAGATGGGTATAATTTATAAGCTAACTGCTTTTTTAGTAGGATGCATTCAGAGCCATTGTGCACAATATTTTGTGATCTTGACCTCTTCTGCAGAATTTTTAAGTAGCTGCATTAAAATTAATAGTCAAAACACTAAAAGTTTAAGATCAAAAGGCACTATCTAGAAGCATAAGGTTACAAATAACAAAAATTCCTATAGCACATTACATTGAAAGATAATTAATAAGCAATTTGCATTCATAAATTATATCGCAATATCACATTCAATGAATAATTTGTTACAGTACATATTACGTATTTCATGCAGTAAGCTAACTATCCCAATAAGATTAGAAATAACCCACTTCATTAGCTGAAATTTTCTGATATCAACCCACTGCTGTTAGAGAATGTTGTCTTCTGGCTATGTTTGCCATTTAAAGGTGACTGTGGAAATTTGACTTCCTCTTTAAGACCTGCTATTTTAAAGCAGGCTGCATATACTTCGAATACTACTGCCACCTCACATCTACACACTGCCATTAGATTTAACTGAAGAGTGTTCTCTTTGGCAGCTTCTGACTTGTTAAACTTCACGTAGCCCTGTTTAGATGACATGAACTGAATGTCAGTAACTTTTCTTTCTGGTTCAAAAACATTAGCAAGTACAAAACATTTTTCTTCAAAGCCCTTCTTGATGTTAAGAAAATGTCTTAGCCTGCAAAGCAAAGAAAGACAAATGCTCAGATAATCCAGACCATAAACATGTCAGTAAATAATGAATGATGAAAGACTAATCTGAGTTACTTTCTTATTCAGGATCCAAAATGACTACTGAATACAATAAAATTCTGACAATATAATTTCAGTATATTCATTTGATAAGAAGTAAAGTTAGAGTATCTCACTTCAAAACTAAGCAAGGTGTATCCATTAGTATGCCTCTACAAGATATGTTTCAGCATTCAGTTGACTTAAACCTCATCGTTTAACATGAAAGAAAAAGTCAGTGACACAAACAATGGTCAGACTAGGAAAAGAAATACAAACATTTAACTGCAGTTGCCTAGGTCCACATGAAGTTGGTTGCTAATAATACTCTTTACTATATCAATAAGAATGATCTTTTAAACACTGAATTGTTTGTGTTTTGTTTTAGAAAAGCGGGCAATATAAGTATAGCTTTATAATGTTTAAGGTGCCTTTTCTATTTTTATATTTCATATCACCACTTTTAGTCTCTTAGTGCAAACATTTTGAAGTGTTGTAATAACTTACCGTAATTCTGTAAATAAAGTTTTCAGGACTATTTCAGGAGTGGTGTATTTAAACTGATGTCTGAAATGTCCAAAGTTTGTTGAATCATGCATATTTGCTTTAATGTTTAATATAATGTTAATAATGTTAAATAAGAATAGTTTTTACATTGTTATACAATTTCAAGAATTGTATTACTTTTTTGGGAAATGTATTTTGCTGTTTGACAAAAATTAATATATGAAGAGTGAAGTATCTTTGTGGAAACTATTTTTGATTCTGATAATAGTATAAATGTATGTTTTGTTGTTCAACATATAGCTCTTATACTTGTATCATTTGCTTTGTGTGTTTGTAAAGTTGGTGGAAATTTTAGTGAAGATATTGTTATTAGACCAAAATAAGTTTTGAAATAAAATGACCATGGAACATGCAGCAGGTCACCAGCTGCAAAATGGGTAAATGCCTATTATTTCAAACGCAACCACGTCTTGTTAAAAGAACTACCTGGAGATTTTTCTATAGGGTTTGTATAGAATCACAGCTTTCATTA